CCTCGGTTACGAATGGGAAGTGTATTGGGAACTCCTATTCATTTAGGAGGGCAAATGAGTTTCTAACAGACAATAACTGCTTTAATCAACCAATCTCCTATAATGACCTGTGAGTGCTATCGTCAATACACGGTCGGTGAACTAGAACGACAACAAATTTCAATCAAATCTGGTGCATTTGGAGCGTTATGTCGCGTGAATTCTCAATTCTCAACAAATAAGCTCTCACGACATATGGAAACAGCCAACGGTACGTTCACTTCTCAAGACAGGGATGCTGCAGAAGCACCCGGTCAAAATCGAGTTTAGGATCCATACAACGTTACTTGCGAGGCTGCTATCAAACCAACTATGGTCTCCAAGCGTCTGATTGTTAAACTTCAACCTGTTAGAATGGAGGCTGGTTGTGAGGTGAGTACTTACAAAGTAGACTATTCAATGGACACCAGACTTTCAAGAAATCAACTGTCCCAACTCACAACCGGCGATATGACCTCACACTTGATGGACACTCCAAATCTGCTCATAAGCTCGCCATCAACGGAACATACCCACTCTAAAGATTCTCATGGAAGGCACAAAACTGCAATAAACAGGTGTAAACAACAAAATTCTGGGGTGATCGTGCAACTTATTTGTTTTCATTTGTCCATCCCTAAATACCCAGTAAAATGAATCACTGCACTCCAATTATTTCAATGATCTTTGCCAAGTCAAGTCTTCAATATATTGAATAGGAATAGAATAGAATGGTATCGATTTCTACTCTATAACACATGCATCAGAATTTTATTCAGCTTCAAACCAGTTCAATTCTTTGGCCAGTTCCACCAGCAATCTTCATTCTATCTTCAACTAACCTTATCTTCTCTCTATCTAACTTTGAACCTAACATCTTTTCTTATCCAAAATTAACCTTAATTCATCTCTATTATTTCTAGACCAACCGATTCAATTCAGAAATAGGTGAATTGACTTTTCAGTCAAAATTCTTTATTAACCAACTCTTTCATATACTTACTTGCAACACATCAGTTAAAGTCCCACAAATATTCTAAGAGCATTTTTTCTTTCATGTTTTCTTCATTTCTTATTGAACATAGATAGAGTCAATTAAAAGATGTCAATGGTGAGTTTTTTCCAACTTAAAGAATGAATTTTTCTATTCATCAGATGAAAATTTCACTTTAATTGAATTTGACCAATCATTCTTTTCATTTCGTTTTAATAATTAGTGGACTTCTAATACCTAACATTGAAGTAAGTAGATACTTTTCATTTAATAACATCAAATGTAATTTTCCTTGAAAGGTTAGAGAAAAACATTTCAAAGTGTTTTAGACAAACAGTAGCCAATAGCAATTGCAAGAGTATTTGCTTCATTAAATATTCACTTTCAAAGACTGTACTACATCTGGTTTCGCCAAGGCGTGCATGCAGCGTCCATCTAGAACATAAGAGCCAACTTAGCATCTCCAAAACTGTGACTGATCACATTATCTACTCTTTCAAATCGATAAGGCGATATACTCACCAATATAAGTCATCGAAACGAAATAAAAGTGCTTACGTATTGCAAACAGTTTGTAGAAAGATAAAAGTGTCCCTTTTCGTTTTTAAAGTAGGCAAAAGAAGATTGTTTTCATGAATATATTTAGCGAGTTTCAAGATGCTTTATTGATCGACAACAATGACTGCTTTTTAGTAAAAGGCTAGAATTAACCATTTACACTTATGGTCTCAATTTGCGGTCTTAATGAAAAAAAACATTAATTTTGAATATTTACTCATAAGTTGAGTATGCAAGAGTTGATTCTCAATCAGTCTTCACAGGTAATTGAGATATTTATTCAAATTCTGCCTTCATTATTTGCTAAATCAAGTTTGAAAATCTGTATGCTGTAATTCTTAGACGAATTTCTCCCAGATATGCAAATTCAAATTAGATTTCTACAAGAATTTCTGTCCATTCAACAATTTCTCTCAACTTTTGCCCATCTTATGTCAGTCTCCCCACTTCCCTTTCAGACTTGTTTTTGTGCTTAAAAAACATCATTTTTTTGTGTGGATCACTGTTCATCTTGTAGCTGATTGCTGCACTAATTAGCCTTCACTTACAAATGGACTGATGACGTTTTCATAGTAGCCAACTTGGAAACCACGAAATCAAAGCAAAGTCCTGGAAATGGTCAAACTCTACCTTTAAAGCAAGCCAAAACAGTTGAGGTTGGAATATTTGGGCGTTCTCAGAAATGCTCGCAGTTTCTTTACAACAAACTTGCCTCACATTATTTTATGCTACTTTAAAGCATTCGGTAGGAGCAGACACAATCGAGAAATGCTACGATATCGTAAACAGCAGAGTAAAATCAAGTTTGTTCTCTGTTAGGACCCTCTTTATCGACGCATCACAAATTTATTGGCACACTACAAGACGTATATATTCGTGAGTGCTGATTTCCAAATCGGTAAGAAAAGTCAACCCGAATTTCAATTGAGGGTAGGAGAAATAGATATTGCTTTCCTCGTTGCGTTTGTCGACGGAGGAGCATTCGAAGCCCAAAATGCATGAGATTACGGCCTACTAGAGCACAAATAGGGTGGGGGGATTGTCTTTATGTGCGAGGCCAATTTCGCCCAATAAACACGTTATATGAGAGATGGTTTGAGAGAGACAATCAATAACTAAGTTGCTGAATAGTTCAATATAGACGGTTAGACGATGTGTTGAAATGTCAGTCCATCGATTAATTCAGAGACAATTTGAATGATTAAACCAGCATTGTTATCGATTAGGGTATTAGAGAATCGGAAATACCAGTTATTTAATTCAGGATGGGAGTTTGAATGCAAGAGAAATTAGAAGAGGCATGTCTTTGAATTGTAAATGGATGGCAATAATTTTGGTGAAATTTGAAGTCAGGAGTCGAGAACAGAGAAATACCTCAAATGACTATTCAATTTATTTACTTTAGAATAAACACTAATATCATTTTGGCTGAGAATTCCTCTGTACTCACACGACAGCTCACCATTCGAAATGTTCGAGAGGGAATCGGATTTCTAGATTTAATCGTTTTCGGATTGCCGTCTTCATAATGTCAAAAAAGTGAGAACAACACATAAGTAAACTTTGGCAAACATTTAGCTCGTCATCAAAATAATTTGCATTTATCTACTTACTATTCACAATCTGCATTCTACTTGTCCAAACCATATCTTCTTCCATACAAAACTCAGTTTTTTGTGAGTATGTCAATTCAGGTGGTAACAGGCAATTATAATAAACCTTATGACAGAAAACACTTATGTATTTGGTGAGGATATTAAGTTTGGTTGCAAAATACAGTTCTTTGTACAGTCAATTGTTAAATGCTACTGGCGACATTTTACCAATTGTGCTAAATTCTCTTTAATCTGTGGGCCAAGAAATTTGTGTTAAACATATGCCAACTGAGGTGTATTTACTCAATTTTAAGTGGTTAAGAAAGGGTGTGTGCTTTTCCTTTGATATAAGCTGACAACTGAAGACGTTTCAAATATAAGATCGCCAGTCGTTTGATTATTTAGATTGGCGAGATTCTAGAAGTAACGCCCATCCTCATGTATATATTCAGATGATTGAAATTTTCACATTTCAAGTTTATTTGCATTTTGAGATACTCCCTCTGAAGTGATGGTTTTGAATTTATTTTCTGCATTTATGTGAGTTTGTCTGCTTGGGTAGGAAATGACTTACATTCATTTCATGGCTATTGGTATTGCAATATGATGTGACTTAGCGTTCTTGGAGAGTTCTGAAAAATATTGTGTAATTTATACATCGTCATAAATAGTAACAGTTGACTTAGACGAAGAGAGAATGAATGCGGACGTATTGTTACATTGCCTTTGTTACAAAACGTCTTTTTATTTCTGAGAAATGAAGATCTTTCAAATACTCTGCTGTTTGACTCTCGAACGTTTGTCCCTCCCCTCTGTAAAGACCGAAGTAAGCTAGAGCTAATGATAACTTTTGAAACGCCTGTCATTTGATATAAAATAAAATATATCTTTGCCTATATTATGAATGAGAGATGCGCGATAGACTTACCTCCACGTGGTGCACCCTGGACAACGTATCTTCGTACGGCAAAAAAGTCTATCACTCGGCATTTGAATTGATGTGACTTCGATTTATTTTGATTAGCTTGAAAAAAGGCTATAAGAGAAATCGCCCTCTTCAGGGCGAATCACAGCGTCTTCAGATCCTCCAGTGGAATGTTGGAGGAATGTCACCGGACAAAAAGATCCAAATCCAGAAAATCCTACAAACCTATGATGTAGACATTTTCAAAATTATGGAAACAAACATTTCGGATGACAAAGTGAAGTCTCTTGGCAAAGACGGTATTAAACCGCAATTTCTAATTAGAATGGGACTCAAAGCCAAGGAAACCATGCTGATGCTTTTCCAAAAAATCTGGGAGACCAGTCTTGTACCTAACCAATGGAAGTTGCCATAGTAATACCAGTACTAAAATAGGGCAAAGACCCTAGCAACTTCGACAACTATAGGCCTATCTCCCTCGCGAGCTGCTATAGTAATAACAGTACTAAAAAAGGGCAAAGACCCTAGCAATGACTATAGGCCTATCTCCCTCACAAGCGTGCTGGCTAAACATAAAGGCCTATCTCCCTCACAAGCGTGCTGGCTAAACTTAGTCTCCCTCACAAGCGTACAGGCTAAACTTATAGAAAGAATGGTTAACAGGAGGCTGACCTGGTTCCTTGAGACTAACAATATTCTTAGGAGTGAGCAAGCCGGTTCGAGGCCACAAAGATCAACGAACCAACAAGAAGCCCCTTTCTCTCAACACATCAAAGATGTCCTTGATGCAAGAAATACCCTTACTGCTGTTTTCGTCGATTTCAAATCAGCATATGACTTAGTATGGAAAGAGAAGCTAATTCTAAAATTGGCAAAGATTGGTATTAAGCATAACATACTAAACTGGATAAAAGCATTCATTGGACAAAGATCGTGTAAAGTCAGATACGGGAATCCTCTATCAAAATCCAATCTTTTACAAACAGGTCTTTCACAGGGAGCTGTCACAAGCTGCACTCTTTTCAACGTCTTCATCGATGACGTAGCCGAATTGGTACAGACAGTCACGGGCGTTAAGTGCTTACTCTATGCAGATGATCTTGTTCTATGGTATTCCGCCCCTAAGAAAAACGCTAAGGAGAGGACAGAAAGTGCCCTAAATTGTACAATTAAACTACTAGCAAACTGGTGCGACAACAATAGAATGGTAATTGACACCGCAAAAACTGCATTCCAAACATTTTCTTTGGCCCATCACAGCATAAACCCTCTTTTAAGGTACAAGGATTCTACCATAGAAAAAACCAATGAGTTCACTTTCCTCGGAATGACGTTTTACACAAAGCTAACGTGGAAAAGTCACATTGCTAAAATAGCAGAACGAGTCTCCAATAGACTGAATGTCCTGAAGCGTCATGCTGGTAGCGTATGGGGCNCTCCTCCAGAGCAAATGCGCTCACTGACCCTTGAGACAATCAATGTCAACTATCCTGGAGATCAATGGCTCCAAGTCTTCACTGATGGGTCATACATAGAAAACCAAGCAAACGTTGGTGCAGGTGTCTATTCTGAACTCTTCTCATTCTTCGCAGCAGCGAGACATAATAGATCCGCTTTTGAAGGAGAAATAGAGACTATTAGGATAGCACTATGCCAATTATGTTGCCTGGATACGAAATTCACCAAAGCGGTGATACTTTCGGACTCACAGTCAGCAATAGACTCTATTGGAAACAGAGAGACACCTAAAACAGCTGAGATAAAGGAATATAGAAAACTCTATGAGCTGCTGAGGGAGAAAAACAAAACATTGGTCCTACAATGGATTCCTGGTCACTGTGGCATTAAATGCAATGAGATTGCTGACACACCTGCTAAGAAGGGGACAAAGATTTTGCAATGCATGGACCGGCTGTTGTCTTTCCACACAATGAAGGCCTTAATCAGGAGAAAATTTCAGACCTCGAGGTTCAACGAACTCAAAGCTCGAACAAAGGAGAAACAGTGGACAGTGGCACTTTCCGACATAGCCGACTGGCCAAGAATCGAAGTCGTTGCTGAGTTTAGACTACGTACCGGACACGATTGCTTGGCAAAACACCTTCACAGATTGGGAGTATACACTCAACCCACATGCTCTCTATGTAACCTACATGAGGAAATGGAGATGACCCACCTGATTCGGTGTCCAGCCCTAAAGACAACGACGGAAAGCCAGAGATACTGGGAAGCAAGAAGACTGCTAATGAACTGCCATTAATTAACTGCTATAAATGTACCCCCCATCTCTTGGGGGAAGCTGAAGTCAAAGATTAAGGGCTAATGATAAATATCATAAAGCCTGCCATTTGAAATAAATATAACTTCAGGAGACGATGGAAATGCTTTTCGAGTTAACCCATCATGAGTTAAAGAAGGGACACACAACCATGTGCAGAGTGCCTTGAATTTTACTGTATCTCTTCCATCACATCGAGAGACTTTGTAGTAAGATTTGAAGTTGATCGACTCTTTTGTGTTGTGGGAAGGGCTGGTTGGAGGTTAACCTCTCAAAATCACACGCTTTCCTTAACAATGAGATCGGTGTTTCAGGTGATATTTTATGTTGGCCAAACATTCACCAAATCAAGTCAATCAAGTCTTCAAGACGATTACCTCATGAGAGTAGTGATAATTGCTAAAATATCAGACCTTGTTAGAGGGGAGTCATCTCTTTTCATTCTCTGTCAGAAATAATAATTCTATCAACCATCGTTTTTTACCAATATTTGCTATTTCGTTAAGAAAATCGCTTCACTAATATTCCTCACATAATTATTGATTTTTAAACACTTGACATTCAAGATATGAGCACTTGCCACACACATACACGAATTATCTTTATTTTGGTTAGATAAAATGAACCTTGTCTTGATGAAATCCGTTGTCCAGTCAATAAGCTGTTTGTAGCCAAGTTTGTCGGCCATTAGATATATCCCCAATACGTTTTCAACATTTATGATTAATTCAACAGTGTGGGCGAAGTCGGCGACTGCCATAACAATACTAATGAGTTGATATCGTAATTGAGACAGATGACTAACTCATGTAAAAAACCATTGCATTTTGAGAGATTGGGCTGTTCATTATTTTCGATACTGTTCTTAATTACCGGAAATTGTGCACAAAGAACGAGTTTATGAACAGGAATAACTGGTAAATCTTTGGTCAAGAAATAGACAAGTAACAGCTTCTACGAAAATATGCACTCACAGGTATTGACAAATCGATTAGTGACACTTCTTGTGGCAATTCATCGAACCTATCTACATAGTTAGGGATGAGGTCTTAATAAATTTTTTTCGGAACTTTGATGTTAATTGCATCGTTGATAATTTAATTGAAAAACAAAATTGTTGATTTCGATTAGAATGAAAAAGTGGCACACTTTGGAGAGCAATCGCATGACTGCAACAGCACTCAGCCTTTTGTAATCAATTAAATCTTAGCAAATACACTTCATTTGGCTCATAATTTTCATAAATTTCTTGGTTCTTGACTTGATATGTGCTAGCTTTTGAAGTGAATTGAACACAATATGGTTTAACGTCACAAGTAGCACATAATTTGTTTGGACAACGAATTTGAAATAGGTTTTTCGTATAGTGTAGAATATGGCGTGATGCATTAAATAGCACATGAGAATCTGTGAGATGTCTCTTAAGAAACGTCTAATCGAATTAAAATTGAAGGTACGAGAAGCAGAGATTTCTTTCCCTGTTATGGCGGTCAACAGAACAACTATCGAAGCTCTAAAGACAAGGGATTACAGCCAGTCCTCTAATAAGCAGTGTATACAGGAAATACCGTGAAATCAATTTTTCCCTTCAATTTTGCAAATCTGGTTTTATCCTGCAGTCTCCAAATCGAAATCCACCTAGACCGAATGTTTGAGAGAGCACATGATTACTTGATTGAAACGTGCTCAAACTGCCGACATCAAACAAATTGTGAACAGTTCATAAGTAAATTTTTGCTTGTGTTGCGCTCGATTTCAACAATCAGTATAAGACAAGACATGTTGCATTAATAGAATTAATCTTTATAAAGAGTATTATCTAAAGCAAAGTGAAAATAAAAAGGAGAAATCATATCGCAATATGTTGAACCGAATCATATCCTCTCCCACGCAAAACACAAGTTCCATGTAACTTCTGGATGCCAAATTCGTTTAAGAAAATACAATTTGTTTCGCAATTCATTTGTGCGCTTCTTATAACGCTAATTAAATTGTGTTCCATTTTCTTCAAAAACTACCACACATCAATATGTGTGCCAGAAAATTTATGTCAAGCAAGTGTCAACTGTAGGGTATTAGATACAATTTTATTGGCTATGAAAGGGCATGTGTGCTATTCCATTGCTTTAAATACTCACCAAAGTCTGCCACTTTTGCAAACTCATCGCAACCAACCACAGCTTTTTGCAATAATTGTATTATCGATGCGATTCACAACTGAGAACCGAAATTTTGATCATGACTTCTTACCTAACTTTGCAAAAAGGTTCAATCTATTGCGTCAAGAAATGAGCCTAATTGATTTGAATATACAAGTGAGTACATATTTTTGTTGAAAGGACAACTTTTCTCATTCCAGACCAAAGGCGGCACTTCTATCCCTGCCCACAAACTTGTTCTTTGTGCACGATTCCCAGGAATAAAGAAGAGTATCTTAGAGAGCAAACATTCAAACCTCTCAAATTGGAGTCGTTTTCCATATGAGTAGGTCATTTGTACTCATTCCATTACCAACTCATTAGTATTGTTATGGCAGCCGTCGATTTCGCCTACACTGGTGAAATAATCATAAATGTTGAAAACGTATTGGGGATATATCTGATGGCACACAATCTTGGCTGCAAACAGCTGATTGACTGGACAACGGAGTTCATCAAGACAAGGTTCGTTTATTGCAACCAAAATAAACATAATGAGTGTGCGTGTGTGCGACTGTGTTAGTTTAAGTGAAGTGAAGCCCAAAAAGAAAAGAAAAAGATGAGAAATAGAATAAGAATTTGTGGCAAAGGATGAAAAACGTACCACCTTCACTCATGCGCAAGAGGCCATTGTCTTGTAGACTTGATCGACTTGATTTGATGGAGGTTTGGTCGGCATCAAATGTCACTTCAAACACTGATCTCATTTACGTGTGCTTACCAAGGATAGCAGGTGATTTTGAGAGATTATCCTCCAACCAGCCCTTCTTCCAACACGTAGATGTCGACCGACTTCAAACCTTACTGCAAAGTCCCTGGATATGTGATGGAAAAGAAACATTGAAATTAAAGGCAATCTGCACATGGTTGCGTGCGTCCTCCTTAAATGACGAACACGTTAAAATCGAAAAGCATTTCCATCCTCTTCTCAAGTTGATCGACATGAAGAAATTGCCAACAGAGGTTATAATTGAAACGTCAGTTAGTGGATCGGATTTCAACTTGTCGGAAAGTGCAAGGTAAAATGTCATTCCTATTATCGAATATTTGGTTCTTTAGGACAAAATTTATGGACACATTTAGGAACTCGAATAAAATGAAAAAAGAAAGGTACTCTCATTTTTTTCTATAACACTTGATGTGAAATGCATAATGCATTGTTTTGTCGTAGCAGCTCGAAATCGATAATCTGTTTTCATGGGCCTAAAGGAGTTTTGGGGGCGATTCCTGAACTAAGTGGAGAACGAAAAGTTTCTTTCCCATTCGAATTTCGAAGCTACGGCTGCACAGTTGCTTTGGATGGTTGGATCTAAATTCGATTGCTTACTCTCAATTACTCTTTTTTTACTCCTTGTAGGTAGTGTTTATACTCTGGGTGGTAATGACAAGTCTGGTGTTGCTACATCAAGAGTGGAAACAATCAATCCACAGAATGGTGAAATGGCCGTACTTCAACCAATGATTGAGAGGAGATCGTGGCATTCTGCAGTGGCTCGAGATCATGCAATTCTAGTTTTTGGAGGTTATATTTTTCAAATTAGCAATAAATACTTAGACTCTTGTGAGAAATTCTTACCTGCAACCAACACGTAAGCATTTATATGCCTTTTACACGGATTTTAAAACATTTTGTCTGGTGTGATGTTCGGACCTACCTTGATTGCAAATACATTATCTGAACCAATCTGAGTTTGTCCGATTTTGACCGGATAATGACTTACATTCAATTGATTGCTCTTGGCAATGCACTAATATCTGATGACACTTTTCACTCATCTTTTGTTACATTTTGAGAGCTCTGAAAGTACTCACTCATTTGTACATTGTCATTAGTAGCAAGACATTTATGTCAGTTGGACATAGCTCAGGTATAGCTAGAAGGAATGCATTTAATCTATTTATTAAACAGTAGCTTTTGATGCAAATTTCCTCTTATAACTGAAAACTAAAGATATTTCAAATATAGGATCGCCAGTCGTTTGTTTATTCAGATTGACAAGATTTTTGAAGTTATGTCCATCAACATGTACATATACAGATGATTAACATGTTCTGATATCAAGTACATATGCATTTCGAGATATTTGTAAATGCATTTTCTGCATTTATGTGAGTTTCTCTGCTTTTGGTTGGAAAATGACTTACATTCATTTCATTGCTATTGGTAATGCAATATGATGTGATTTATCATTCTTGGAGAGTTCTGAAAAAATATTGTGTAATTTATACATCGTCATAAATAGTTGAATATTCGTATCCATAGAACACTGCTTGGCAACCGTTGACTCAATAACTTATTAAAGTATTCATGTTGCATTGTCTTTGTTACAAAATGTCTTCTTATTTCTGAGAATTGAAGATCTTTCAAGTACCGAAACAGCAGAGGCTGCCGTATGAAGATAAGAAAGATGTTGGTAGTATTGTGCCTAGCATGTGTGCATGTAGATATTAGACCCCGCATGATTTCTAGCTCCAACTTGTAGGTCGAAGGTAACGAATCAGTAAGTATCACTTGAGAATTTAGTATTTTCAAAATTTAGATGGAGGAAACTGCCCCCAATGCCAACGCCTAGGTGGGGCACGGGAGCAGCACATATACCCAGTGTTGGTGACATAGTTGTTGGTGGATATGCATCTACTGGATATTGTAACAAAGCTGAAATCTTTTTGACAACTTCATCGCCTCTTGGACATGCAGGCAGTTGGTGTGAAATCATTCCCATGCTTCATTCGAGGGAATATCCTACAGCAGAATTTTTCAATGGAAGTGTATATGTCGCTGGTGATCGTAGAAATTCACCTTCTTCTGTTGAGATGTTGTCCTTATTTACTGAAGGACCTCCCCAGTGGACCGAAGTGATTAAACCCACTTTTGCGCTTCACTCGTCGATCTCTTTTAATGGGCGTCTTTTGTTTGGTTGTGAGTCATGTTTACTTTTATTCAATATTTTTTGAAGAGAAGTAGAAATATTTTCTTGTGTTAGAAATTACGAGTTGTCCACGACAGGATTATCTTCTCTCAAACAGGGAATTGATTAATTTGCAAATATGAGATTATTAATACAATTTTTGAAATTCTGGAATGTGTTTAGAAATGCTTTGGCAACTGGAATAAAAGCATTGCTGTTTGCACATGATTTCTACCTTAGTAACTCAATGTAACTTAATATACCCAATTTAAATATCGTGTGTCATACTTGATTTCACATACATTACGAAGCGGAAATCAATTTTTTCTAAGAAGTCCATTCAAATGCCATCGAATATCGAAATCAAAATTTTTCTGTGTCTAAAATTTAAGACAAGTTAATGTTTACCTTGATTTTACTGTAGTTTTTATTGAAGGCACTCCAAACCCCTGATACTTTTCACTTTGACAACTATTGTTAAATAGGAAGAAAGATAAGCAGAAGTAGTACCAGGGAAGGTCCACTCGCATCCCTCACCGTCTTTGTTGGATGATTTCAAACATCTTGACATAAGCTTATTAATGTTCAAACGTCCCAGAGATAACACTCCTTGAAAATATCGAATTGTAGCTTAATAGACATACTCACAGAAAGTCAAGGCACGTTTACACAAATGAGATTAACTTGTGTGCAGATGTAAGACAGCCTCATTCATTCACTATGTAGTCAAACATTGAGATCGATGATGATACAGTCGCCACTCTTACATACTGCAATGCATAATTTACAGCGAGTTCATACCAGTATTGCTTTGAGCAAATTGTTCAATCAGATAAATTGAGTGGGCTTTCTATTTCCCTCCTCTGAAAATTGAATTTTGTGAGCAAGTTGTAGATAAACAGCAATCACCAGACATCACTCAAGGTTAAGTAAAATTAAGTAACATTCAAATCTGACCATAATTTATCCTCATTGTAGCTGTCGAAGGAAGAATATTCGAGTTGTTATTCAACCAAGACAACGAGGTAAGTTATATGACATTGAAACTCCATGAAATTACAGGTTACCAATCAATCCCTATATATTGCTAATTCAGACCTCCTCAGGACCAAAGTATTCTTGGATGTTGATTTCTGAATTAGGCAAAGTGGAAGACCTTCGACTCCTAAAGATAAATGATCTCCCGTGATTCATTTTCTCATCTCCGATAAACAGTTTTTGCTGTCTCTTTCCTCTTACAAAAGAACTGAGTTTAAAATAATGACTGTGTTAGGTTAAAAATATCTTTCTTCATTGTGAATAAATTTATTTATTTATTTATTTCAAATGGCTGGCGTTTTGACAGTTATCATTAGCCATTTTGTTGACTTCGGGCTTCACAGAGAGGAGGAGGAACATCAAAGTGACAAAAAGTCGAGATGTGACAGAGACAGACAATAGAGCAGAGAAAAGGTAAGATGAGTACTGTGAAAGGGATCGAATAAGGCATACAGTGGAGTGAGGGTAGTTTGAAGTGAGAAGTCATTTAGTTGACTTCGGGCAGAATAATGAGAAATATTCTACGTCGGAATATGAGAATCCGGCAAGTAGGCCAGGAAACAGCCGAAAATGCATTTATTTATTAGGTTGGCAACTAAGTCATTGCTGAT